ACCCCAGACCTGCACCCCCATGGGGCGGGGCTGCCTGCTCGCCGGGTGCCCCCAGCCTCCCTCCCCTCTGCCTCTCGGCCACCGCTGCGAGAGCATCACCTGGGCCGGGAGATGAGGGACGATGAACTTCACGGCCACTTGCCCGGCGGCAGCGCGCGCGAGGGGGAGACGCGGGACTCGCGCGGCAAAGAGCGGCCGCTCCTTTTCTCTGCGGACTTGCCATTTCTAAAAACCGTTGCCCAGAGCAGCGCAGCCCTGGCTCCATGGCCTCGCCTCGCCGCTGAGCTCAGCCCTCTCCTGCCTCGGGCCTCGCTCGAGCCCGGCTGGCATTTCTCTTTAAGGCAGCAGAAATTTCTCCTCTCCTTTTAATAAGTTATTTCAAAGGCCTGCGCTTCAAAAACATTCGAACCAAATTTACACACCAAAGCCATAAATGTTCCTTTTATTGCCTGAGCAATATAACCCTCGGCGATGTGATTCTTGTAAATTTACTAGTCTTCCAGAGCCATTAACTCAGGCCAGGTCTTTTCTTCTTTTCTTTTCCATGCTAAGTCGAATAATTCATAAATACTTCACACCAGAGCCTACTTTATGAGCGTTATGATGATCGCTTGGGCATGGAAAGGCCTGCAAAGTTATTACAACAGCTTTAATACCCCACAGACTCCCCAGCAGCTTGGAGAGCGAGGTACAAAGCAGCTCTGTCACCCTCTGGGTGGAAGAGTCCTCTAGAGCAACCATTTCCTTGGCCAAATAATACGGCTCTTGCAGCTCATAAACGTCTTTGTGAATTGAGTCAATGTCTGGGGTGAGTTTTCAGTGCTGCAGCCCTGCAGGGCTACTCACATCGCTGGCCACCACAGCCAGCCACGGTTGGAGCCCGCAGGTCGCCGGTGCGATTTTCAGGCCAACGCTCAGCCAACAGACATCGCAAACGGTCAGATGGGTGACAGCGGGGCTGTCCCAGGCACGTTTAGAAAGGTGACTTACTTACTTGGAGTCCCCGACACGCAGCAAGACGTGGGCGAGCTGGCTTGCCCGGCTCAGGAGGCGGCAAACGCTGTCTAGCTTTGCTCGTCCTTGCGTGCATCGCGGGACGGACCCTGCTGACCACCAGAAATTAGAAGAGTCGGTCATGGGGCTGTATCCCCCCAAGGCTATAGCTGAAAACCATTGGTTTCTTCAAAGGAAAGAGGCAGGAAGCTACGGCTGTTGGACTACATCTAGATGGAAACGGGAAGTCACCACGCTTTGACATTATTTTCCTGGAGCACAGAGCCACCCCGGGACTTCCTGTGGAGCATCTCAATGATGGGCTTTGCCCACACGTCTGGATTCCCCTCCCCATTCTGCCACGGGAAATGGCTCACAGCAGGGAACCAAGGCCCAGAAAACATAAACCCAAAAACCAGCAGGAGTGTGTCTTAGCTCCCCAAGAGGTACTGTAGGACTCCAACCCCTCCGGCACCCACCTGCCCTGTGACCCTCCCCGAGACCACCCAGAAGGAGCTGCAAGGAGAGCCCGCGAGTCCTGCCCATCTCTGAGCCACCGCCGCTCCCAGGGAAATCCATCTTGTTGTCTTGGAAAGAACTCCTCCGGTAATTGCCCTCATATCTCAAAGGTGTCCTACCGCCACGGAGGTGCAAATATTTATCCATACTTGGAATTGCAGAGTGAAGCCTAACTAAGTGTTCCCAGACACTCCAGCAATTGTTGTTTTAAGACCTGGACTGTGGACACCTGGCTGGAATTAATCAGCAGATGTGAACGCCGAAGCAGAGCGAAGCCCTTATTAACCCTTCGCACGGGAATGTCAAGGTCAGGGGGGTTCGCTGGGGTGGCCCGTACCCAGATTGCTGCTGTCAACGGCTTGGGAATCCCAAAGTGAGAGATGGTCTCCAGTGAGCAGGGCAGGAACCAGTAGCAAAATTTATCATATTCCCGTCCCCGCTTGAAGATCTGCCGTGCCAAGGCACTCACTCGCAAATAGGAGTAATAAATGTTTATAACTAGATAATAAAACACAAGAGCAAACCACCTTTATATGGGCTCTGCCTAAATCAATAGGGGTTGAAGCAGCTTTTTAAAGGAAAGCGTTTGCTTTTCTCCCAGGTGGTTTCAAGTAGGGCACATCAGCAAGGGCTTCCCCATACCATCAGAAATCCAAGCTCTTTAAAACAGATCAAAGCACGCAACTGCAAGCGACCCGTGGCCTCTCCCGTTCCAGCTCCTCGCCAATGCCGTCCTTGCTGTCGAACAGCTTGCGCTCTCGCATCAAGCTAAATCTCCCAATGAGGAACTCGAGACAAGGTACAGCGGCTTTTACCTTAATGCTAGCCCATACAAACGTCAGGTGGGGCCATGGCTGATGCGACGGACTGCGCCAGGATGAAAAGACCGACCACCTCTGCCCTGTGCCGCTGACCCCTTCCAGCGCGAGACAGCCGGTGACGGAGAGCTCGCTGGCTTCGAAGCAGAGACGGAGGCGAGAGCCGGGCAGGTGCAGAGCCTTCCTCGCATGCAGCGTGCCAAGGAGCCCACCCGGCATCTGCAGCCTCGTCGGAGCGGGCATGAAGTGCAGGGGGGATACTTTTAAGTGGATTAAAACCTTTGCAGAATCTCCTCCATCAAGCCATTTGCATTGTCTTGCTGTGCTCCCAGAGGCATGAAAGAGAAGACCTGTTTTCTCTGCCGCTGACCCATGATACCCCTCTGCCGCTAAGTGGGTCTGACTGTGAGAATTGCTGCAGAACAAAATATATGCAAGTGGTATCCTTATATATATACGTGTGTATATGTATCAATAAAAGCAGAGAAGAAAAACCTTCCTGGATCCCTCACCGTAGATATTAGCCCATCACCAGCTATAAAACACAACATTCTTGAACGATGTTGGTTGTCATGGCCCATTTGCTCGTTTGCTCCAATTTCCCCTCCTCGCTGGCTCCAGTTATTGGCAAGCTGCGGAGATTGTTTGCAGTAGCTTCGGCGTCAGGGTGGGATCTCGCTTTCTGCAGCCAAGTGGCAGGTGGGAATTAGGGGGTAGAATCAGGCTGGAAAGAAGGATGTTGGGGAACCAAAGGAAGGAGAAGAAGAAGGAGGGCACCACACACGGCAAGAGTGGGGTGGAGGTCAGAGGAGCGAGAGGAGACTTGGAGAGAGGAAGAACCAGAACAAAGGGCAAGTCGAGGAGTGAAGCAGGGAAGAGGAAGTGGATGGGATAGAGAAAGGGTCACCTCAGCCATCCATCCCCCTGCAGCTGAGCAGGATCAAGCTTTTCTTCTCATCTCAGGCTGAGGTGGAAACAGCTCGGGCTCCGGGTCTGTCTCAAGCAGCTTGAAGAAACAGCCTCGCTGGTCCACAGCTCAGCCGGGAGCAGGGTCCAGCTTCAGCTCTCCAGGGACACAGCTCAGAGTGTCGCTGAAGCAGCAGACGACAACCTTGGGAGACTCTGAGGACGAGCTCCTCACGCAGCCAGCACCCCTGGGTCAGGCCAAGGGTTCGGATAGCCCCACAGCTTCTCTCCGACAGCAACCGCAAGGAGATGCCTGGAGAAAAGTAAGAACAAGCATATAAGACATCGCTCCAAGTCCTCTCCCAGCCTGCAGCTGTTTCTAGCTCCGAGGGACTCCTGAGCCAGATGCACCTCGCCACCCCTCAGCAATTTCTCCTCCATGCAATCGCCCAGTCTTCCCTTACACCCATATAAACTTTTTGCATCCGCAGGCTCCTTTGGCAACAAGGTCACGGTGCGAGATGCAGCAGCCAGCTGGTGACATAGCTCCCTCCGGCTCTGGAGGAGCCCCATGTCCATCAGCGAGGACGGACAGACTCGCAGCCTCCTCCATCCTCCAGACCACGCAACCCCTCATCAGCCACCCAGGTCACCAGACATGGCCGGACACCGGTAAACGCTCAAAGCCTGGGAGGAACAAACTCCTCCTAAAAACAACAAGCAACTTCCAAATCTGTGTCCTGCTGCAGCAACCGAAGAAAAAGCCCCATCTGGCCGAGCGCATCCGAACCCGGCCGAGGCCCAGGATGGTGGCCACCTCGTCACCAAACTCTCTGCTCCCCCAGCCAGGGCCAGCCCCAGTCGGGTGAAAAAAAAACCCCGCTGGCCGGACGGCGCGGCGCACCGCCGGCCGCCGCTTTCCGGGCTCGGGGGAACCGGCCAGGCAAGCGGGGAGGGAGCATTCGCTGCTGATCAGCACAGAGGAGGGTGCGGGGCAGCTTTAGCTGCTCACGAGCCCCGCAATGCCCTCGCATCACGAGCTATTGCATTTGGCATAAACACCGGAGCCCAGGTCAGGGCCATAATCTCTGCCAGATGCTTTTGCACCTTTGCCGTTGGCCTGATCTCAAGATCAAACCTTACCCGGGGGACGGAGGGAGGCAATAACGCCAACCCGGGCGGTCCTTCCTCTCCTTTTTGCCCTAAAATGTCTTTTGCTCACGCCGGACAAACGGTGGCGGCAGGAGGCGGACGTGGGTCTCCTTTGCCCGCGTCGCCCCAAGGGCATCGCAGCGGGAGGCGGTAAGGGCTTTAGCTCGGTGTCGAGCACGGGAAGGGGAAGCTGCCGCCCCGAAGGGGTTTTGGGGAGGGAGCCGTAAACCTTCAGCCCGTCGGGGGGTTTAACTCAGCGGGGCAGGGC